TTTTTGTCTTTTTTTGAAACGTATTATTGGAGTATTGGCAAGTTTTACCATTCAGAGATTTACAAACTAATATTGAAACTGTAAAAAACAGTTTCATGTATACGCGCATTCACTAATGAGTAATGACAACTTATAAGCCATACATAACTTAATAAAATATGTCAGGTGTCATCACCACACAAGATATGAAGCCACAATACAATATTTTGCAATACATCCAAGCAATACAATATTTTGAAATCACTAATGGCGTGCGCAAGACACACTGGGAATTCGCATCTAATAAGAAGAGTATCCGCTGAATTTTTTGTTTAAGGGCGCGGGTCAATGATGCGTGCGACTATCAATGAGGAGTCCCACTGTCTACGGAAAAAATTGCGGCGCCGCCACTGACACTAATTAAGAAATTCTCAAACAGATCTGGTACTTCCATTCCCAAAATCACAATTTAAGAAAAAGACCTTCAGTTATAGTGGAGCAACACTTTGGAATAACTTATCAATTACTGCAAAACAATCCAATTCTATGAGTTGTTTCAAAAGATTAATGAAGCTACATTTTCGAAAACAATAAGTATGTTAATAGTTTTGTGTGTTTGTTATTTATTTTTAGTATTTTTGTACAAGTGAACATAACAAAGGTGATTGGTCAAATTTTACGTATTTTGTTATATTCACCTACAGGTGAATATAACAAAATTGAAATTTCCAAAATGGCGGCTAGCCGTTTTGTTGAAGTTGGTGATAAAGAAATAAGCGAAATTAAAATAAATTCAGACCAGAAAAACACAAAAAAAACTTGTGAAAAAATACTAAAACAATTATTCGCCTGAGGCTCGATGATTATTGGGGAATATTCACCTCGACTTCGTCTCGTCGAATCTTCCCCGATAATCACCTCGCCTTTGGCGAATAATTGTTAAATGTTTGCTAATTGTCAAAAGAATAATTATTTAAATAGTTTGTATTATGTATATGCATTAGTCTTAATCTTACACGTCCCCTATGGAAATCATCGAAAGATGTTAGGGCTAACGTGTTTAAATAAATTTTTATGTACGTATGCTCAGAGCTGAATTACGCTGTAATGACATTGAGCCCGCAGTGTCAAAATGGCGGCTTGCACAGGGTGGTCATTTCTAGGTTTTTCATTTTGTTTGAAAGTGCTCTAAGTTATGTAATTGATATTTTCAAAGATGAAACTGTGAAAGCAGTGACAGAAGAACAAAAGAAAGCAATCTTTTCTGCTTTATCGGGCCGAGATACATTTGTTTGCCTTCAAATTACGGTAAGTCTTTGAATTACCAAGTTGCTCCCGCAAAAACCGGTTTGATATTACGTGGTGAACATCACTTGTTGTCATGGCAATTTTTGCACATGCGCGACAAAAAACGGGTCAGATCTAGGCAGAAGTCCCTTCTCCTTCGCTTCCCAGCACAAATAGAGACCTCTGCCAGCAGGGAATCTTGGTAAGTGAATTTATGTTTGGTTTAAGTAAATTATTATTCTTGGTAAGTGACAAATTACTTGATTTTTCATTCCAAATTCCAAATTGTTTCTTCGTTGGTGAATTTATGCTTGTTAAGTAAATTATTATTTTTGGCTAGTAACAAATTACCATGGGCACCTCTTTTCTTAACAACTACATATGTACTTGTTCAAAGTAAACTCATTCGTTTGGTAAGACAAAGTTTACTTGATAACTTATTTCATGCAATGTGTTGCTTGAAACAATTTTTTTTTTGCTAAGAATTTTGGATTTTGCTGCGTGATTACGGTGATCAAAACATTGCGAGTTTTTCATTATACCACTATATATAGTAATAATCAAGATATGTATCGTGCCGAACGCAATAAATCCACTACAAGTATATCCGATATACATGTTTATTTTGAACCATATAATTTTTTTAATTAAATTAAACAGATACAAAAATTATAGAAATTATTCTTATTCTAACCATCTATATAAGCAATACTGTTTGTACATACATGTATAGCACTGGCTAAATTCACGAATTGTTGATTTCACTCACGATATTGTCAATTGTTGCAATAAAAGGAGTATTAGCAAAGAACTAATATTAATCAAACTAGTAAGAGATACTTCATCACCTCATTTACGTTATACACCGGATAAATGATAAAAATCTTTAAATTTGTAGCTACTTCTTTCAAGAAAAGTTATATTTCAGGTTTTTAGTGTATTACATATTAAACGTCCTGATCCGATTCCTTAAAAGTCATATTTTATAGCATGACTTATCCACATTTTTAGCAGCCTTTAGTACAAAGTAATTGCTACCATTGATCTATAATTATCGCGCTTTTGAAAAGTGAAGGTCACAATTCGATATAAGCACTACAACTTTGGTGGCTCTAATTTAAAAAGTGTTGCACTGGCACAAATTTTTGTATGAGAATTTGTATTGGATTGAGGCTTGATGGGTATCCAGCACGTTCAATGCAAGTGCCCTTCACTCCCTATTAAATTTTCTGTTTTCAGAAAGACGCCAGCGCTCATGCCACAGTTTTAAAAGTATGGTCATCAAATTTTGCATACTTATTAGAATTGACCCGCTCTTTCGAATTCTGGTATTTAAGGACTGGTAACATTTGATCGAAGTTTACTCAAAACGTGATAAAGGTCTCTTGATTACGATAATCCCATTCACTTGAATATTAAAATTCTTTTGCCAGTACTCTTTGAAATTTTGCGACCCACAACACATTGAAACGTTGCGGATAAGCAATTTTACAGATCGCCAGTGCATGCACGTAGTAGGTACTTTAGTAAGCTAATGTTTAATTACATAACGTCACAGGCTTAGAAAATATGGCTATCATGCCATGGAGCGTAACAAAACAATGGGGCCGAAGAAATTCAAGACGGCGGCATGTACTTGACAAAGGAGCGATTTTACTTTTTCGACAGACTTGCATGTGGTGGTCGCTAAACTGAAAAGTTTCTTACTTCTAAACATAGGAGAATAACTCAGTGAAACTTGTTGATGTAACCGGCAAGCATCTTTTTCATTGCCGTCATGATCAATTTAATAGTGCAGCAGACTTAAATAGAGAAGACGTTTGTCAACGCTGGATAGAATTATACTAAGATCAAGTGTTTTAATTCCCTCTCGAATCTCTTTCAGAAGTAAAACATGCAATGCAATCTTGGAGGAAGTCATTTAAAGTTCCTAAAATTGTGACTGGCTGCTTTTTTAAGTATTGCTCTCTTTTAATTGTACCTTTGAAAGGCCTGTGAAATGCCTAACTCGTCTCTGTTGTCTCAACTACGTATATCTGTGACTCGATCGATGGTTTGTATACATGTTCAATATTAAAAAGGATCAGCGCGAAATTGTTAGGAAGGGTATCGGAGTGTATATAAAGGAAAAAGTTGTTACCAAATTTTTGCATTTTTTTTTAAATCTGCCTTTTCAACTGTTTTCCATTGTCGTATATTTAAAATATACATAATACCAACATGGTGTTCAACTCTATTAAATTTGCCCAAAAGGGCGATCTTGGTCGTGCAACGGTTCCTTGTGTTTAAAATTAATTGTTCATAATTTAATTAAAATAATTATCTAGCATTTACCCCCAACTCCCAAGGTGTCTCGATATTGATTCCGAAAAATTGGGTCTTTGTGACAACTTTGATTTTTTGCGCAATTTATTTATTTTATTATTTTATAAATTCGTTTAGATTTGGTAATTATAGAGCGTTTGCACTCATTCCCCAGGGACCAACTCAACAAAATCCATGGTGGCCATGTTGGTTTTCCAGACAAAAGAATTTAATTAAATTATTTTGAATTGGAATACCAACATGGTGGCTGTGACGTCGTGTGCAAACGCTCTATAGCCACTCAATTTTTGACACGAAACGTGAAATTAGTGTTTTCTCAGCCCCGCTCGTCCCTGTAGATATTTAGAAGCTGCTAGCCAAATACCATTTGGCTTTCTAAGAATGGGTTATTCGTTTCAAATTTAAAAGCTGCCGGTGAGCATTGGATGCATGCAATGATAAATTGATAATTTGAAACAAAATTTTATAAACAAACAGAAAATTGGGAATGGCCATGCAAAACCAAAAATTATAAAGACCGCTTTCCTTGAACCTTGCCATGCCTGTGACGCTTTCCAATAGAGATTATGCATTTCATTAACTATAAATCATTCTAAAAGCTATCACACTAAAAATTATTACCGGAACGTAGCTACTAAATAGTTTGATGCTGCATATACAACAATAAAACAATTATAAATCAATCACTAAATGAAAGAAAAGTTTGAATTAAACGTTCAGTATTGAAATAACTTTTAACAGAACTTTGCGACTGTTTATATATATGGAAGCTGGACTGGCCCACTTTGAGCAGCCACGCAGGTAAGCGAGAACTAGACGCGTAGACATGTAATTATTTTCATAGTACAATATTGCGTTTATACGAACCTATGCAACTTAGACCTATGTAAGTATAGTTAGTCTTGTTATAAAAGTTATGTTTAACTTATAGAAAAAGGTTAGCAAATTTTCAAAATCATGTGTAAAAAAAGCCCCTTTATAATGTATATATATTTTACTATTTTGACACTAACGTATAACGGACTTTCATGCTTGTTCGTCATTTAAATGTTAAAGCAGCGTGGATTATTATCGATTATTATTATTATTTTAATAGAGGTAAGGTATATTGAAATAAATTTAAAATAAACAGTACAAAATAATGATATACGACTTCAACACTGAACTCAAACTCTTTCACATTTCTATTAATTGAATACTTAAGAAAACGTGATTAAATATTCTGGATAATATTGATTATCATAAAACATAACAAAGATTGTGGGAGTATTTACGTTGTTGACGACGGAATCGTAGGAATCATTGCTATTACCTCCTTTGGTTGGGGGCACCAGCATTGATGAGTTACCGACGGTGTATTGCCCAACCGCAACCCTTGCCACATACATAAATCTCTTTGACGTCGTCGGGTCTACCTTAGCGTAACCAGTGGACATTTGAGCATCCCTTGCAAAATAAACACCTTTACCAAAAGCAATTCCTAAAAATACAATGACCAGGTGAATATTATCGAAGTTTTAAAAATATATTAGAGTCACGAGCATTAAAAGCTTTAAGAATCACAATTGCATGATTTCTCCAAAAAGTGAGAAAATGGACAAATATGATAACTATAATTTAAATTAAATCAAGGACAGAATTCATTCGTTTCTGTTCATTTTAATGAGTTATATTTACAACCAATACGCCTTTTTGTTTGGAAGGACTTACAACATTGTGATTGGTAAAGCCATACAAACTTTACTTACTGAATAGATTTGAAGATTATATTAATTATCAAAACTCAAATTTTTAAAATGGCCAATTAGTGCCAAGAGTTAACTCAGAGATCCCAAGGATAGTGCAAAATTGATTTGACAAATGATAATTAAGATTCATTTTGATTCGCATATAATGTATGAAATAGCTCCAAGGCATACTGTAAAAGACCATGTCAAGTCCGTTCTGTGCATCAGTTCTGCTCATAACAATGGGGAAAACACAGATATAAACATTGTCCAAATTTTGCATCTATCGAACTTACTTGAAATAATTTTCTTTTTAGTAACGTATAAATGTAACTTGATGATGGAGTAAACTCCGAAACGTTGTTACAATTTATTAAATTTGTTATAAAAAAAGCCTTCTGGTCGTTACTAAAAAGAAAATTATTACATTTAAATGAGGCTTAGAGAAAGTTCGCTTCTAATCACATTGAAGAACTTACTTGAATTGAAACGAATTTAGTTTATATTCATTTACTGATTTACAATAGCGAACCAGAAAAGTTAGATATTCAATTCATAGTATGTCTTATTTTACAAACATAGCAGTTCAAAATGTAAACAAAGGATTTGTTTACATTACGGACTTAACATGGTCTTTAAAGGTCACTACAATAACAGTGGAAATGTTTCTTTAAATTAAACAAAAATGTATATTAATTCATCTTATTAGAAAATCACGAGTATTGAGGGAGTCATAAACTGGTATTGTTTGTCAAGACGTCTGAACGTTTGAACCTTTTCATTATAAGATTGATGCATGCGTCTATAAAGAAGTTATTTGGCCTTTGTTTATATATATTATAAACCACGACAGTGAATTTTGTTGTTCTCGCGTGGATAATTTTCCATGGCTTAAATTCCTTGAGTGGTGCATGGTTTTAATCCAGATCTTTTTTCTTTGCTTTTAATTCAATTTTCTACCAATTTTCCGTTTTACATTTAGTATAGCCTGTGCACATCCTGTATTACCCTGTACTACAGTCTGTGAAAACTCACGCGATTGCTTGTCGAGCTACTCAGATCTGAGTAGTAGACTGTCATTGACTAAAGATAATTAAATTATTTTGATTGCCTACGATTGGTTAATTTCTCATCACCAGTAAAACCTGTTTTTCCAATCAATATAAAATTAATAAGACCACTAAATTTCAACGCGCGAAATTGATTTGTTCTTCAAAATTTCCTATACTCGCTGCTCCAAGACAAGGTAAATTTTATATATTTTTAATCCTCGAGAAAATGTTTAAATCAAGTTTATACGATCAGAAATTTAGAAGTTAGGAGTCAATTTGGCAGCCGCTTGACTAAAATTTAATTGTTTACAACATGAAAACAACATTACAAATCTTATGTAAGCTCATCCAATTTTTGTTGAAGAGACTTTGTTTACTTATCTTTCGAAAGAAAATCTTCTACAGATTTCAAAAATATATAACGTGTCTCGTGTTAAGATAGAAAATAATTTTTAAATGAAGAAAAGTGAATGGACTTTGCACGTCAGTCGAGACATATTAAATATTTAGTTTAGAATGTAAGCATCAAATTTCGTCGGGAAATTTGGTGAAAACTTGCTCAAACCTTTACCTACTTTATATAATCTGTATCGCTATACAACCAGGAGTTTAAAAATGTTTGAATGAAGTACATTGGTTGAGTATTTTAAAAATTATTCAAAGTTTTGTACTGTTGCGCTATATTTACATGCCATGCATGCTGTCATATATGTATTAAAATATTTTGAAATTCTCAGTGCAAAACTTTAGATAATTTTTAAAATACTCAACCAATATACTTCATCCAAACATTTTTAAATTCCTGGTTGTATAGCGATACAGATTATATAAAGTATGTAAAGGTTTGAGCAAGTTTTCACCAAATTTCCCGACGAAATTTGATGCTTACATTCTAAACTAAATATTTAATATGTCTCGACTGACGTGCAAAGTCCATTCACTTTTCTTCATTTAAAAATTATTTTCTATCTTAACACGAGACACGTTATATATTTTTGAAATCCGTAGAAGATTTTCTTTCGAAAGATAAGTAAACAAAGTCTCTACAACAAAAATTGGATGAGCTTACATAAGATTTGTAATGTTGTTTTCATGTTGTAAACAATTAAATTTTAGTCAAGCGGCTGCCAAATTGACTCCTAACTTCTAAATTTCTGATCGTATAAACTTGATTTAAACATTTTCCGATAGCTTATTTCTCGAGGATTAAAAATATATAAAATTTACCTTGTCTCGGAGCAGGGAGTATAGGAAATTTTGAAGAACAAATCAATTTCGCGCGTTGAAATTAAGTGGTCTTATTAATTTTATATTGATTGGAAAAACAGGTTTTACTAGTGATGAGAAATTAACCAATCGTAGGCAATCAAAATAATTTAATTATCTTTAGCCAATGACAGTCTACTACTCAGATCTGAGTAGTCTTATTAATTTTATATTGATTGGAAAAACAGGTTTTACTAGTGATGAGAAATTAACCAATCGTAGGCAATCAAAATAATTTAATTATCTTTAGCCAATGACAGTCTACTACTCAGATCTGAGTAGCTCGACAAGCAATCGCGTGAGTTTTCACAGACTGTAGTACAGCGTAATACAGGATGTGCACAGGCTATGCTCATCGTTGCAGAGAAGAGATTATTGGTTGAAACAGTCCCATTGCAAATTTCCTTCATAATATTTACGTTTGGTAATCTGTAACAAATGGTTAAGTTTATGCCTAAATTTTTTGTAAACATTCTCATTAATCGGACACAGAATACTCAAATATTTTTTAAACAATTTGTTTTTCCTTTTTATAGACTTCAAAAGACCTTTCGATAACCAAGGCATTCTGAAGCCATACTTGAAAGCATTTACTTTTCTCAATGGAAAACAATAATTAAATGCTTTGGTAAATTTATTAAAAAAACTACCATATGCATGTTTAGCATCATTATATTCCAGAAGATCAGATGATAAACAGTAATTTGTCACAAAATTTAGCAATGTTTGTTTTGTTTTTGTCACGGTAAATGACATATGCCTCCTTATCAACATAGATGTGTTCGTCATAAAGAACACAAAATACTGGTAGGTGATCAGATATATCTGTGAATAATAAACCACTAAAACAGTAACTCTTGAGGTGATTTGTAAATATGTTGTCAATAAGTGTGGCTGTGTAAGAGGTTATTCTAGTAGGGCATGTTATCAAAGGGAAAAACATATGTACTATTTACAACATGAATGGCCCTGTTGTATCGGATAAAAAACGACTCATCTTATGAGTTCATTGGCGACAATTTTAAAAATAAACGTTGTCTAAGCCGAGAAAATCAAAGTTAATGTAAATCAACATCACATATACAGATACGCAGGGTCTTAGCTAGAGGGCCGTGTTGGCCGTGTTATTGCGGCCGAAAGTGGAAAAACACAGCTAGATAAATGAACGTGGCTTCATTATTTATATAAGGCCGTGTAGGTTCATAAAATATAGTGTTACTGCTAACAAAACAGACATAATTTCTTCCTATTTACGTCGTGAGAAAGTTTGGAAAATCTACTGTAGTTGTTGAAATTGGCAAAACTGATCAGTGATGTTGTAATGTTTTGATGGATAATGGGAACTGTATGGTGTTAAAGTGGTTTTAAGGTTACTTCACATGATGAACGTGCATTTTAGTCTATTGGACATTGCTCAATGAATTTTAGGTGTAACTTTACCAAATGTTCAGTGAAGAAAGCCAGGAAAATGCTGATTTCGAAAATTTTCATTTGATGGGTGTTCTGTTTAAACATTTTCAGTATTGGCTGACTGAGTAAATATGTAGGTACCTTCATAAAAAAAAATCAAAATATTTTTATAGTTTACCTCAACGGTTGTCTAGATATCGCAATTCAAATCTTCATAGGCATGGTAAAAAAAAACGTGTGCGGAAAATTTCTCTTCTTTAGTGGTTTTTATGATATGCCCTGATTCTTGGATTTGTCACTGATAATTCACGAAGTTGTCAAAGAAAATGTGATATCAGAAAAACCATTGAAGAAGAGAAAGTTTCCGCACACGGTTTTTTTTACCTTGCCTATCAAGGTTCAAATCGATATATGTAGACAAACGTTGAGGTAAACTATAAATATATGTTGATTTTTAATGGGATACTTATGTATTTCTTTAGTCAGCCAATACTGGACATGTTTAAACAGAACACCCATCAAATGAAGATTTTCGAAATCAGCATTTTATTGGCTTTCTTCACTAAAAATTTGGTAAAGATACACCTAAAATTCGTTGCGCCATGTTCAATAGAATAAAACGCACGTTCATCATGTGAAGTAACCTTAAATAACCCCAAGAGTTGCTGAAATAACTTAATATTTTAATGTCGGTGCGCAATATGAGTGTATGCTTGCCTTGTATTTGGTTGCAAAGCATAGAACAACCACAAGCATTATTGTTGGCAAGCTTAACTACAACCGTGATTTTGCTATTCAAGGTAATTGACATGTGCACGCCCTGGTCATTAGAAACACGCCCAAGATCTAAAATCCTAGCTAAGACCCTGCAGATACGACATGGTTATGATTTTTTTTTGTGTTTTCTTCATGAATTATTGAGTTTTTTAATAGAGTACATTATATCCAGAAATTCATTTGTAAATTGATGACAATGATAGTTCATTAAGTTTAAGTTAAAATCACCCATTAAATAACAAAGCTTAT